TTTTTTCATTTTTAAATTTTATGAATTTAAATTATTTTTTAAAAACTCCATTAGTTTGTTGATGTGGCATCTATGTGGAGCCCACATCTAAAATAATATAGTGTCATGTGTATTTAAAATACAATGTATATTTTAAAATAATTTAAAATTCATAAGATTTAAAAAAGAAAACCAAAATTTTATGAATTTTAAATTAAAAAATTAAAAAATTTCGCAAGGACCATTTGTGATAGATGTGTAAACCTTAGGGATGTTTTATGATATGTATATATGCCACGTCAGCAAACTAACGGAGTTTTTGACGGAACCTAACGGCAGAGACCATTTGTGATTATACATACTAACCTTGAGGACCACGAGTGACACAAAAAAACATTAAGGATGCAATCTGATAGTTTCGTAAACCTTAGGGACCTTTTGTGATAATAAGCCTTAATTAATTTACACTTGCAGCTGCATCTTCTTCCACGTCCTTGCTCAACTTCCCTGTGATCAATATAAATATAGTAGACCGATCGATGGATTAAAAGCCTACAAGAACTTCTGAGTTTAGCAACTGTAAGATACCTGCTGTTTCCGTTTTCAGCATAATCGAAACTTGCAGCAGGTTCTTTACTCCGATCCATTGATTTTGCTACATTTTAATTTGTTTCTATTTTCATATATGTTGAGGGTATATGATATATCTCGTATATAGAATATAGAACGAGTTCTGATGCAGCTAGTGAATTTTTTTTATTTTTTTATAGAATATATAAATCTTTTTCTTGGATTTATTTTGTTATTGCAATCTTTCGCTTTGTACTCTTTGGATCTTGAGATATTAAATAATTTCTAGCACCAAATACTTAGGTTGTCCCTGAATGTGAAACCCTATCTAAAAAATCCTTGAACGCATATCTAAAAAATAGACATTATCATCATTAAACTACATTGCAAGAAGATGATACAGCTTTGTACCATTTAAGGTTGAAGCATTTGAATTTTACCCTTGCCTATTTATTCAAACTAAAGAAGTATCATTTCACGTGCCATATCATTTACATGTTAATTTGTGAATCCTTTGCTAGATGCTTTGCTGGAAAATTTAATTACAATCACTTTTGCAACTAATAAAACACTGTTTTATTCTTGTGGTCACTAGGACAAAGATGATGGCTTCACAAATGGCGAAGAAAACTAATCAGAGTGAAAAAAAATGCTACGTTTCTGTTGAATTCTCGGAGCAGTGGTGTATCTACCGGATTCCTAGCAAACTCCGGAATGTAAAAAGTGAAGCATACACTCCTCAATTGATTTCAATAGGCCCTTTCCACCACGGCAATCCGAAACTGAGGGATATGGAAAGACATAAAATGAGATATTATGAGAATTTCTGCCAACGAACTTGGAAGACAAAGGAGGAACTAGAAAACTTCATCCGTGAGAAACAAGAAGACATTCTTCGTTGTTATGCAGGGGCCATTGAGCCAAACTTCATCCGTGAGAAAGAAGAAGACATTCTTCGTTGTTATGCAGGGGCCATTGAGCCAAACTTCATCCGTGAGAAAGAAGAAGACATTCTTCGTTGTTATGCAGGGGCCATTGAGCCTGATATTGACTTTCTGAAGGTAATTCTAATTGATGCCTGCTTCATCCTTGAACTCTTTTTCAAGAACGTTAACTGTCAAACCGAAAAGAAGGAAAATTATTACCTTTTAAGATCGCCATTGCTGAGGAAAGCTGTAGAGCAGGACCTGATACTCTTGGAAAATCAGCTTCCTTATCCTCTTCTTCAAGCGCTATATGACTTTGCCATCCCCACCAATTCCAGTTCCAATCCCGGAAAAAATGTTCAGGAGAAAGAAGAGGCGGATGACCTGCACAACTGCCTGCCTTGCTTCCAGCCTTGTTTTCCAATTTCCCACTCGACCCCTTCTAGATCTGATGATCATCGTATGGAGATTGAGAAAACCGAACATGCTTATGATCACCCCTGCTTCCAGCCTTGTTTTCCAATTTCCCGCTCGACCACTTCTACATCTGATGATCATCGTATGGAGACTAAGAAAACCGAACCTGCTTATGATCACCCCTTTCTAAAGCTTACTTGTGAGTTCTTTAAGGAATACACGAAGTTACAACCCATTAAGAATGAACAAGTGAAACATTTCACTGACTTGGTAAGATATTTTATGTGGCCAGAAAAAGAGATTATGCGGACAGAAAACATGAATTGGGAAGGAAATGGCGAGTACATCCGTACCAAAACTATATACGACGTAAGAAAGCTGAAGGAAGCAGGGGTGAAGTTTAGGCCAAATGAAGGTGAACGCTACGTCATAAAGAGAGTTGAGGACCACAAATGTAATTTCAAAATGGCATGTTTTAGAAATATGAACTTGAAGCTTACAAAATTTCGGGCAAGGTATGGGGAAGATTGCATTATTCGAAACGTGATGGCCTTGGAGCAGCTTATGTACCCAGAGGAGGCTTATGTTTGCAGTTACTTTTTGATGCTGGATCAGCTTGTGGACACTGTGGAAGATGTGAATGCGCTGATTGAAAGCCATGTTATAGTTAACTTGCTAAGCAGCAGCGACGCAGTGGCGAAGCTGATTAATTCACTTTGTCAGGAGATTATGGTTAGTGGAACCTGCTATACAAATATCTGTAGTAAGCTTAAGGAGCACTACGAAACCAGCTTCTGCAACCGTAACATTTCGATCCTGAAACGAGTTTACTTCAAGGATCTTTGGACGGGCAGTTCAACTATACTTGGACTCTTTGTGCTGGTTTTCTCCATCATTGTATCCATCAAGTCTCTCATGAAGTAAAGCTTGATTAGTTTCTAGTCTGATTATTATTTTAAATAATTAGCTCAAGTGGTGGGCTGGGTAACTGTTGCATTCCTAAAAGGACACAAATTAATGTGCAAACAACCAATTAAAAATACCCGCAAGTGCACGAATCTAATGAAGTATAGATTATGTAAGTACGGGGTCGATCCCACGAAGAACTTGTCGGCTTCCTATAAGTTCTAATTTGAGTATGTAAAGTGTCAAACAAAGTAGGGTAAATATTTAGTTATGCTAAGATACACTCATATTATTATTCTTCTCCAATATTGAGGTATTTATACAAGTACAAAGATGTGTTAACCCTAAATAAAATAGGAAATATATCTAAATTAAAATAGGAAGTAAATCTAAATTATAATAGGAAATAAATCTTAATTATAATTGGACTAGACAAATAGGTAAGTAACTAAAATCCTAACATAGTAAGGAACCAAAATCCTAACTAAGTAAGGACTCGCCAACATTGCCCCTCAAGTTGGGCAAAGATATTTCGCACGCCCAACTTGACAAGCGAGTCACAGAACACCATACTTGAGAAGCACCAATTGTAGAGAAGGTCTTTTCGTCAACCACGAGTGAAACAAGTGACAAACTAAAGCAAAGTTCGCAGCGGAAACACAAGAGCAAACCCTAAAAAATAGGGCACATAGAAGAATACATAAAAGTAGAACACAGAAACCCTGTGAGCACGGCAGTAGATAAGGCAAAACACAGAAACTCTGTGAGCATAGCAGTAGGTAAGGCAGGACACAGAAACCCTGTGAACACGGCAAAAGCAAAGGCAACCAAACCCTAAAAATATGGTAAGGCAATGTAAGGCAAATAAAGGCCAAGCAAAGGCAAGGTGACATGGCATGGCAAAGAAAGCCCAGATAAGGCAACAAAACCCTAAAAATAGGGTAAGGCATGACAAAGGTAAAGCCTTACCTTAAAAATAGGGTAAGGCAAGGCATGGCAAGGAAAAGCCAAACCCTAACAAATAGGGTAAGGCAAGGCAACGAAAGTCAAGAGCAAAGGCAAGGTCAACGGGCATGACCACAGCGGAAACACAGCAGTAAAGGCATAAGCAACAATACTGGCACCAACAAGAGCAACAAGGCAGAGACATAACAGGCATTATCAACAGCAATACAAGGCATTGGCACCAGCAACAGCAGAGACAACTTCTCTTCACTCCCCTTCTCCCCCTGAAGAGAAGGGGTCGATGGAGCCATATGATCAATGGTACTTAAGTAACATGCACTGACTAACACTGAGATTTAGCAGCGGTGACAATAGCAAGGTAGGCAACGATGACGGTAACAAGGTAGACCGCGGCGGCGGGCTAGGATTATAAGCTAGATGTATAGTGTAACGGAAATAGGTAGTGTTTAAGGTTAGGGTTTTTTATGTTGTAGAGACAGATCAAAACACAGCAACATGGCATCAGTAATAACCATAACAACGGCAACATCAACGGCAACGGTAACATCAACGATAGTAGTAGAGGTAACGGCAACGGCAACAGCAACAGTTCTTCCATATCAACTTTAGCTAATTCACATAGACACAACTTCTCTTCACTCCTCCTCTCCCCCTAAAGAGAAGAGGTCGTCAGAATCAAGAAATAAGTAACATCTTCATGGGAATATGTCAAGCTAATAGGGATATGTCAATAAACATATCTTTTTCACTCCCCCTCCCCCCCTTGAAGAGGAGGGGAGGAGAGCACTTAAATTG